AAAAAAAAAAAAAAAAAAAAAAAAAAAAAAATCTGAAGGTCACAAAAAACAAAAATATACATATATTTAAAAAACACAAAAATAACCAAAAAGCCAGGTGCAGTGACTCACGCCTGTAATCCCAGAGCTTTGGAAAGCTGGGGCAGGCAGATCACTTTGTCAGAAGCCTTTGAACTGGAGCACCTCCATCTTGAATAGGGGCTAGGTAAAATGAGGCTGGTCTGCATTCCCGGATGGTTAAGGCATTCTAAATCACAGGATGAAATAGGAAGTCCTCACAATATACAGGTCATAAAGACCATGCTGGCACAGTGGCTCATGCCTATAATCCCAGCACTTTGGGAGGCTGGGGTGGGCAGATCACTTGAGCCCTGGAGTTCGAGACCAACCTAGCCAACATGGTGAAACCCCATCTCTACTAACATACAAATACAAAAGTTAGCCATGTGTGGTGGCAGGCCTGTAATCCCAACTACTCGGGAGGCTAAGGCAGGAGAATTGACTGAACCCATCAGAGAGGTTGCAGTGATCCAAGATTGTGCCACTGCACTCCAACCTGGGCAACAGAGCGAAACTCTATCAAAAAAAAAAAACAAAAAAACCTTACTGATAAAACAGGTTGCACTAAAGAAGCCAGCCTAAAACCTACCAAAACCAACATGGCTATCAAAGTGACCTCTGGTTGTCCTCACTGCTGATATAGGAGTTAAAAAGAAATTATTTAGGCAGATAGTGAGGGTAAGAAAGTCCTCAGTAAGGGTTTCCTTTTAATAAAAAGCAGCCCCCAAATTTTATTTCTAACAAGGAGCCTGTAAAGTTGAGCTGCAGACATACACAAGCAAGTGGAAGCTTGCACGGGTGAATGCCGGCAGTTGTGCCAATCAGAAAAGGCTACCAGAGACTAGGCGTGTTCAAAATGGCAACTCCATCTTCTCTTTTTCTTTCCAACCACTTGTGCAGTGGGGAGCAGACAACATGGCACTGGCCCAGTGGCAAGCCCATCTGCATTAAGAAGATTAGGGTGGGTGGCCAGCTTCCTCTCATGCTATATAGATGTCACACCTGGTCCAACCCATCTTTGGGCCCCTGGTAAATCAGACACTGTCTCCTCAAGCCTGCCTACAAAATCCAGTGCACTCCACTGAGGTCTGGAGGTCCCGTTCGGGTGCCCCTCTGTCTCGAAAGAGAGAAAGTTGGTTCTCTGGGCCAGGCAGGGTGGCTCATGCCTGTATTCCCAGCGCTTTGGGAGGCCAAGGCGGGTAGATTACATGAGGTTGGGAGTTCGAGACCAGCCTGACAAACATGGAGAAACCCCCTCTCTACTAAAAACACAAAATTAGCCAGGCGTGGTGGCGCATGCCTGTAATCTCAGCTACTTGGGAGGCTGAGGCAGGAGAATCAGTTGAACTCAGGAGGTGAAAGTTGCAGTGAGCCAAGATCGTGGCACTGCACTACAGCCTGGGCAACAGAGCAAGACTCTGTCTCAAAAAAAAAAAAAAAAGAGAGAGAGAATATAAGGAAGTTGGTGGAGCTATAAATTGATATAACCTCTTCTGAGCAACTTAGTAGTGTGTCAATTATAAATAAGTAGACCTTTTGATCAAACAATTACTTTTCTAGTAATATATTCCATAAATATATTTGCAAATGTAAGACTCATCGAAAGCAGTATTTGATGCTTTTTGACTATAAACTAAAACTTGACTATAAACAAAATGTCTAGTAGAGGACTGGATGAATAAGTTGTGGTAAATTGGTATGCTGCATAGCTATTAAAGGTGTGAACATACTTAAAATGTCTAAAACTGTTTAAAAGTGTCAAAAGCAAATAATTTTCCACTAGGATAATAGACTAAGCTAAAACACGAAACCCTCCCCCCTACTTCAAATTCAATAGAAATGCTAAATAAAATATATATTTTTAAATGTTTCCAAAGCTGGATTATGGCTGGGGCTTATTATATTGTTCTGCGTATGTTTTTTGTTTGTTTTGTTTTGTTTCTGAGGCGGAGTCTCACTCTGTCGCCAGGCTGGAGTGCAGTGGCCCAATCTTGGCTCACTGCAACCTACGCCTCCCAGGTTTAAGCAATTCTCCTGTCTCAGCCTCTCCAGCAGCTGGGACTACAGGCGTGTACCACCACACCCAGCTAATTTCTGTATTTGTAGTAGAGACAGGGTTTCACCGTATTGGCCAGGAAATCTCCTGATTTCGTGATCCACCAGCCTTGGTCTCCCAAAGTGCTGGGATTACAGGTGTGAGCCACCACGCCCAGCCTGTTCTAAATACGTTAAAAGAATTGCCTATAATAAAATCTTTCCTTAATAAAAAGTCCATATTTATCAACCTGAGAAAAATACAATTTAAAAATGGGCAAGGAACAAGAACAAAAACTTAACTAAAAGTTGGCAATTTAGCACATAATAATATTTTTTTATATCATTAGCAACTAGGGAAATGCAAATAAAAACTACATCGAGATACCCCTATACTGAAACAGATCCAATTGCCCTATAGAGCTGATGTATATGGTTTCTTTGAATAAACACAGTAACTGATCCTTTTAAAACTTGAGACAGTTACATTTGTCTTATCTGAGTTCCTTTCTCAGGAAACCATCAGGCCTCCCAGATAGTATGAACCAGTTGAAACTCACAAGATCACTGCATTTGGACAATGAAAGTCAGACCCCTCACCTATCATGACTGCATAACCCACCACCTACTTCCTGTTCACCAACCCCTCTTCCTTACCCCTCACCAATTCATGTTTTTCCACAGATGGTTACATTTCTTCCCAGCAATATAAGCCACTCATTTTAGTCTGTCAGGGAGATGGATTTGAGACTGATCTCCCATCTCCCATCTCCTCAGCAGTAACACCCAATTAAAGCCTTCTTCCTTGGTAACACTTACTGTCTCCCTGATTGGCTTTCTAAGCCACAAACAGCAGCACCTAGACCCACACCCTGGTGTTTCAGTAACAACACCATTGATTAGAATGTCTAACAGTTTTTTAAAATGCTAAAAATACCAAATAAAGAACGTGGACCAACTGAACTCTCATAAGTTCATAAGGGGAACACATAACAGCACAGTCAGTCTTAAAAATGGTTTGCTGGTTCCTTGTACAATTAAATATACATATTTACCATGACTCAGCAGTCCCACTCCTGGGTATCTACCTTAAAGAAATAAAAATTTATCTTCACGCAAAAGCCTGTACACAAACATTTATAGCGGTTCTATTCAGAATTCCAAAACTTGGAAAAGGCCGGGCGTGGTTGCTCATTCCTGTCATCCCAGCACTTTGGGAGGCCAAGGCAGGAGGATCACTTGAGGTTAGGAGTTTGAAACCAGCCTGGCCAACATGGTGAAACCCCTTCTCTACTAAAAATACAAAAATTAGCCAGGTGGGGTGGTGTGCACCTATAATCCCACCTACTCGGGAGGCTGAGGCAGGGGAATCACTTGAACTCCAGAGGCGGAGGTTGCACTGAGCCAAGATCTCGCCACTGCACTCCAGCCTGGGCAACAGAGTGAGACTTCATCTCAAAAATAAATAAATAGGCTGGGCATGGTGGCTCAT